ATGTGTGTTTTATGTATGGAAGTGGAAATCAGGTTTGCCAGTAGTGTTTTTTGCCTAATAGACAGAGTGGGACACCACTCTCTTTTTAAATATATTGTTCCTTACCTTTATTTTATTTCCATGAAATAAGCTTTGAAATCCGAACAATTCTCATGTAGTTTTAACTTCCATCTATTAAGCTCACATTCACAGCTCTCAGGTCTTCTCCATTTACAAATTCAGTTTTAAAAGAATTTCATTTTCCAACAGGCTTAAATTTCTCTTAGGTTACAAATAAATGAAGTTTAGCTGATAGCTACTGGTGTCTCTTAAATTTCCGTGATCAATTAATGCCAACTATTACCCTTTTGCTTACATTCAGGATTATCTAGATCAGGGGTCTGCAACCTTGAGCCCCTTGGACCCGTTTCCCAGAAAAAAAGAAAACACTGGGAGCCGCAAAACTTGCGCGCACGTGCGAGCACACACAAGGGGTGGAGATCTTGATTGAAGAGTTTAATTAAAAAGAAATAGAGGCTGCTGTGCATGAGTTCTCTTTCTCTCTTTCTCTCTCTCTCTCTCCCTCTCCCTCTCTTTCTCTCTTTCCTCTCCCTCTCTCTCCCTCTCTTTCTCTCTTTCCTCCCCTTCTCTCTCCCTCTCTTTCTTTCTCTCCCTCTCTCTCCCTCTCTTTCTCTCCCTCTCCTCTCTCTCTCCCTCTCTTTCTCTCTCTCATTTTCTCTCTCTCCCTCTGTCTCTTTTTCTCCCTCTTTCTCTCTCTTTCTCCCTCTCTTCCTCTCTCTCTTTTTTCTCTCTCCCTCTCTTTTCTCTCTCTCTTTCTCTCCTTCTCTCTTTTTCTCTCTCTTTCTCCCTCCCTCCCTCTCTCCTCTCCCTCTCCCTCTCTTTCTCTCTCTCTTTTTTCTCCCTCTCTCTCTCCCTCTCTTTCTCTCCTTTTCTCTCTCTCCCTCTGTCTCTTTTTCTCCCTCTTTCTCTTTCTTTCTCCCTCTTCCTCTCTCTCTCTTTTTCTCTCTTCTTCTCTTTTCTCTCTCTTTCTTTCTCTTTCTCTCCCTCTCGTTTTCTCTCTCTTTCTCCCTCCCTCCCTCTCTCCTCTTCCTCTCACTCTCTTTTTCTCTCTTTTTCTCCCTCTCCCTCTTTCTTTTTCCCTCTCTCTCTTTTTCTCCCTCTCTTTCTCTCTCTCTCTTCTCCCCTTTCTCTTTTTCTCTCTCTTCTCCCTCTCTCCACCTCTCTCTTTCTTTCTCTCTCTCTCTCTCTCTCCCCTCTCTCCCTCTCTCCGATCTTCTGCTCACTTGGCAAGCTGGCTTTAGGCTGTTCTGAAACAAGCTGACACACATTATTGGGCTGCTCTCTCCTTCCCTTCCTGCTTCCTGCAGAGATGCAGCAAAGGGAGGAGCCCAGCCCAATAAGCTTGTCGCCTCATTGGAACAGGGTGAGGCCACTCTCTTTTTTACACACACACACACACACACACACACACACACACACACACACAGAGAGAGAGAGAGAGAGAGAGAGAGAGAGTGGGAGAGAGAGAAGGGAAGCAAAGTGCTGGGAGCCGCAGGAGAAGGCTCAAAGAGCCACATGCGGCTCTGGAGCCACGGGTTGCCGACCCGTGATCTAGATCATAAAATCAGACATCATGAATATGCTTCTGCTGCGTTTTAGTGTTGGTAGGTGCTCTGGGAAATCATGATTCTAAAGTAATAGAGTAAAAGCCTAGGTGTAAGGAAAGGGTTTGGTTTTTTTTTTTTACTGGAAGGAAAATAGGCTTATGGTTATGCTTCTGAAAACTGAAAGATTTCATAAGAGCTGCAATTGATTACAGTGCATACAAGTTATATATTCTCTCTCTCTCTCTCTCTGTGTGTGTGTGTGTGTGTGTGTGTGTGTGTGTGTGTGTAATTAAAGTGGTTCTCTCCCAAAAACTCTTTAATACTTGAAGCTAAAAGGCCTTGTCTTTAATAAACTCTCATATGAGATATCTTTGCAATTTGAGAGCTAGCACAAAGGTCATGTTTTTGTTCTAAACATGGAGTTAAATAGGGATAAGATTTACTATCTTCATAGATTAAAACAGATGCTGTCTAGTGGGCACTTGAAATATATGCATATTCCAGATAGTCTTTGTGTGGGGAGATTACAGTTTGACGGCAGACTAAAATGTTTGTGAAACTGTGTTACTGAGAAATTATGGATTAACCATAAAAATGCTCTTTATGTTAATAATTTTAGGTATGAAATTAGTAGGAATTGAAAAAGCGGTCACATTAACTTTATTGAAAAGTGAAAGACTAAAGGGAATGACACAATATTGCACACAGGTAGTCCTTGATTTACAACAGTTCATTTAGTGAGTTTTTGAAGATACAATAACACTGAAAAAAATTGTTTTTCACACTTATAACCGTTGCAACACCCCAGGATCATGTGATCAAAATTTGGCCACTTGGCAACTGGCATATATTTATAACTTGCAGTGTCCCAGGTCATGTGATCTCCTTTTGTGAACTTCTGACAAGCAACGTCAATGGGGAAGCCAGATTCACTTAACAACTGTGTTACTCACTTAACCACTGCAGTGATTCACTTAGTAACTGTGGCAGGAAAGGTCGTAAAATGAGGCAAAACTCAACAAATGTCTCACAGCCACAGAAATGTTGGGGCTCAGTTGTGATCGTAACTCGAGGACTACTTTTATTTATTTTTGAAATGAGTTACTTGTAAAAATGGTGTGAACCTGAAATGAATGAAAAAGAATGAAGGGAGCGGGACATATGATTTTTATACTTCTAGTGCTAACTAACTGAAGCCAAATGTGAAATATCTGCATTCTGCTGAGCAGTGATTTTTAGCCATAGTTTTCAAGCAAATCACAATGTCTTTGTTTGCACCACACGAAGTAAAAAAAAAATATTCCTATTATAGTATAAACAACTTGCTAAATTAGAATCATTTATTTTAAATTGAAATCTTGCTTAGTGAGGGAACAGGAGTCTACTGATTAATTAGTTTTATGAATAATTGTAAATAATGACCATGAGATAAAAGTACCAAGTCTTAAAATTGTCAAGGTTGCAGACCCCTGGATTAAATCCCATGTTCAGAACCAATAGGCATCAGATGCTACAGATGTAAATTGAAAAAAACTGTAAGCTTTCTAGAAACTGACTGCCATTGGAAACAGAGCAAGATAGGTCTGAGATTAGAGTGGATGTCTTTTGACACATTTATAAATCTCATCCGGTCAATTTGATTAGTGTCTGCTAGGAGCAATATGTAGACTTCATTAAGCTCCCCAAATAAATAGATTGCAAATGTGAACTAATAATAAGTAATTTATATGGCAGCAGATTTGTCTCCAGATACTTATATCCAAAGCCATGGAAGGTTAGGCAAAGCTAAATCTTAGTCCATAAGGAGAGCTTGTATCTGAACCAGGAGTTAGTGAAGCTCTTTGTTTATTGACCAGATATATTTTTTCCATCAAAACTCTATAACTATTACATTTTCATAGTAATGTTTTTAAGCTATGTTCAATGGCTATTAGACACAAAATGTATTACTTGCCCTGTAATCTTGGTGATATTTTGTTAAAACTTACATAATTGTGACTATACTGTTTATCCAGAGAGAGGCTTTAGCTAGTGAAAGACATTCTGTGGGATTGTTAACAGTTCAGTCTTGGACTCAATTATGAAATTGGCCCTAAATAAGATGTGAGACTCACAGAGAATTCAACTTATTGGACTGAGCTTCTTATGGATATCTATATCATCATATGATGCCACTTCATACTTTAGGACGATTTCTCTCAGCAGCTTCAGACAGAGGGTAAAGCCATAAATATAAAGAACATAAGGCTAAGTAAAAATACCTCATAATTTCATTCTGAAAATGACACTAAAGACATTAGCAAAACGGTTACTCTGTGCTCTCGATACAGGTAGTACTTGCTTACCAACCGTTTATTCAGCAACTGTTTGAAGTTATGAAAGTGCTGAAAAAAAATATCTCTATGGACCCCTTACAACCTTTGCAGTGTCCTTCAGTCATGTGATCAGTCTATATGCATTAGCCTGTGCTTGACCTGCCATTTTTTTCTTTTTCCTTTCTCTTCCCCCCTTGGGGAACAGAGAAATTGGAGAGGGATTTCAGGAGAGTAACTGTTTGTCTTCTACACATTACAAGCAATATAATTATGCTGCCAGTGGGCAAGAGAAAGATTGTCTACGGAAATCACATGCTTTCCCCCCTTCTCCCCACCCACAGAGAGGAGAGATTGGAAACATGGGGATTTCAGGAGAGTAACTTTTTGTATAGCTCCCAGCCTTGGGTTGTGCTTTCAAGAGCAGGGGAGAGATTAGAAAGCAAATAAAAGCCAAGGGTGTGAAACTGAGTAGTCTTGTCTGTTTCCAGCTAGAAAGAACAATTGTGGTTATTTGACTTATGTGACTTACTGATTAAGGTATGTAATATTATGTAATATTCAGTTATTTGTTTAATGAACAGAATATATTTCCTCAGAAAACACTATTTTTGATGAGTCCATCAAATATGATAGTTATATTAGATGGGAAGATCAACGAGAATCATATAAGGCAATTTTAGATAAGTATATTATATATTTTATGTTTAGTGTTCCTAGCAATCTGTTACTCAATTAGTAGGTTGACTAGTTATAGAATTACTTCTACTTGTACAGACTTGGTCCTTGCTACCCCTGGATGATTTCATGTATAATCAAGCATTTTTTCCAACCCCCTTGGGTCTCTTGCGTTTGAATTTTCCTTTTCCAGATGTGCTCCACTGATTATAAAGCCTTGGCATCCAGCCATTGAAAATCTAATGAAACTTTTGGTTGCTCTGACAATGTTACTATATAAATTGGATGTTCTCAAATGTCCTTTCTGTATTTATCATTTTGGAACAGTAAGTATAATGGAAAGTCCAGTATTCTATTTAAGTGTAACAGAAAACTTTTTTTTCATTCTTTGTTAACAATGTAGGTAATGAGAACTATATGAAGTCATGTTGCTGCTTTTGTCCTGCAGATTAGATGTAAATGAATCAGGTAAGAATTGTGATTTTTAATCAATTTAATTAAAAATGCTAGGTGTATAGATCCTTCTCCCTTGGGTATTCTGTAGAAACAAAATAGGCCTTTCTGTTAAAGAAAACATATATATTTGGAAGAATAAAGATAGTTTATGACATCAGTAAGTTGATGTCCATGTAATTGTGAAAATAAAGCTTCATGCTCACCACTCATAGAAAAAAATACTCATACCTTTTGTATATTGCTTCTTCCTTCCTAAAAATATACATAGTGAAGTGAATAAGAATACTGCAGATAATTTTCTATAGAAAACAAAGTTCCACTAAACTGAGAAACAAATTGAAACACTACATCAAAGTAAAAAGTAAACAATTTCTGGCTTGGAATTGCAATGTAGTTGTGAGGAATTTATAGGAGACTTTTTTTTAAATCAATACAGACAGGAGATAGTGGGATAGGAGATAAAGGAAATCAGTCTGCAATAGGATCACCAGGTATGCCTCTAGGTAGGAAATCTAAATTCTCTTTGAGGTAAATGGGCGGTTTAGAAACATGAAATAATCAATCAATCAATCCCCAGGACTGTAGTCTGGATTTGCTCCCACTCCAACTGTTCTTGCAAATTACTCTGAAAAGCCACTTGCACAGTTCTTAATTGCATTAATGACAGTAATTGACATTAATTTGCATGTAGAACATCAGTATATGATTTAAATAAATGCTAATATACATCTAATCCACATATTTAATTTAAGAATTTATTGCTCATTGCCTCAGTTCCTAGGTACTATGTTCTGCTGTTAAATATATTGAAGTAAGTAAACTTTGTAGTTTGTAGACTACTAATATGAAAGCATACTAGTACATACTAGTATATCTAATTTCAATTTCTGCAGGTGTAGGTCAGATATTTGTAGGTTAAGGTTGCAGTCCTCAACCTGCTTATTCTAAATACTGCACATTAGGACAACAATTTATTTATTTTTCTTCAAATTACCATCATGTAACATATGCTAAAAGATAAACTTAGATTTAAGCATGGTAACATCTGTTTGGAACTGCTCTTAGTGGGAGCAGTTCTATCTTTATTTCACACATTTCTTTTTTCACAAAGTTGCTGATGAGGACCATAATTAGAAATATTTAAAAAAGTAAATTTCTGTTCTATACAAAAAAACAAGATACATATGATTCTTTACTTTCTGATTCGCAGTCCAGAATGTAGTATTTTTATTCCAAATTGATTGTAAATGGAGATAAAAATATGGCAACTGCAGTTTGTCATTGGAACTGACAAACAGCTTTGTCTCAGAGCCTTCCCTCCACTGTATTTATGAATCAGGCTGTATATTATTCCTTTTCAGTGAGGATGGTATATGTTTTCAGCTCAGATCTTTGATTTAGAGTTGACTACATTACTTAAAGTAAATAAGTCTTGTTTTTAGGCAAGCATTGACTTTTTGACCTGGATGGCTATTTGTATGAAAATGGGGATATGAGAACTGAGATTTAGACTTTACTAGCATGGTACCCTCTATATGTGTTGGGTTATAATTTCCTTCTAACATATTCTGATATTCTGATTGTTTTTATTTCATTTTTTATAATATTTTATTGATTTTCTAATTTTACAATTAAACATTTAAAAAGCAACGTGGTGACCGGGTAATCAATGATTCCATAACATACATAAATTTTTAGCACAAATCTCAAGTTATAACATCAGATATTTCCTCTCTTTATCCCTTAATATGTACTATCTCATATTGAATTAATATAATTCTTATTGTTACCAACTAAGTAACAATGTTACATTCATCAATAATTTTGAACTTAAACGTACCTTAATTGTATTTACATTCAATCTTATATATATCAATGTCTTGTAGCTTTTTCACCAGGCTTTAATTTCCCCTCTATATTCAAAACATTTAGTATGTTATAGTTTCTAAGCTTTAGGTAACTAGAGTTTCCCTTATCTCAACTTCTACATTTCCCCCCCTTTTATAACAAAATCTAATATTCTAAATATACATCTTATCTATTTGCATATAATCTTATTGTATTTTAAAAATTCTCTTTTTTCCCACCATATTAAACCAAAAATCTATTAATCTTATTATACATCTTACCTATTCAGTTATAATATTACTTTATTTCCTAAAAAAATATCTATATTTGACCATCTTTAACCTTCTAATCAATAGTACAAAACCCCCCTAATAAATCAAAACCCTAGTTTCTTTCAGCCTTACTCTGGCTTTTTTCCTTTGCCAATTAACTATCCATGTCAATACTTTTAATTCATCAAATAGTTCTCCCTCTATTATTGTGTGTATTATTTGGGTTAAGAAAACCATTTTATTACAATTTTTTTGGAAGAACTAGCCCCATTATATTTCTTTGATTGCCTCCCCATTATTTCAGTTTCCCACAGTTGTCCTAATAAGTTTATCTTCCATTCAGTCTGTTCTTCTCCCTTTTCCTCAAGTTTCTTCTGATTTATGAAAAAAATCTTTTCCATTTTCAATGTTGTCACTCTCTTTTCTAATTTCCCCGTTGGCTGTATCTGTTGGTCAGTTGGGTCCTCTGTCTTAATATTTAGTTGTTCCATTTCTTCTGCTGCTTTCTGCATTGTTGGGTCTTTGGTTGTAGCCAAAATCTGGGTCTGTATATTTAAGCTGGCATCTTGTTCCTTTATGTTGCCTCTCATTTTGTTACATGCTGAAAGAATTGTTTCATGTATTGCTTTCAACATAGAAAGGATTTTTTCCTGATCTTTATCCATATTCTCTTGATAATGTATTCAATTAAGGATTTAAAATCAAATGTTAAAAGTAGTTTTTGTAGCTAGATGTGTGACATCTATTTCACGTATTGCGAACAGTCTTATAGTGAAAATTGTTTGGCAGGTAAGAATTTATAGTCCAAAGTATTCCATCATCTCATGTAGTAACGAATACTTCTCATGTAAAGAAATAGGAAAACAATTTCCCACATATAATTCTGAAAGTCAATAAAGGTTTATCTTCATAGTTCAAACAGGCCAGATAAACCGCCTTGCAGTTCCTTCTTTATAGCTGTGTTTTTCACAGGAGGTATGTTAAGGTCGAGAGGGTTTTTTCTAATTTCTGAGCTTCCAGCCAAGTCTCTTTTAGTCAATAACAAATTGTAATAGCATATTTCGCCACAAGATGTCACCAATGCTGTTTAAAACTTTTTAAATCCCAAGTTTTAATAATAGTTTTTCAAGGTTTGTTTCTTTTCTTTTTAAATAAAAGCCAATATCTCCAGTAAGAATAGGAAAACTTTTAGTTTCCAAATTTCAAAGGTATATGCATCCAATTAAATTAGAATTGTTCTTATAATTGCTCTTTTCCCCTAAATAGTCAATTGCCGCTGTTCTTAGAGGGTGGGGTAAGAATTCCCTTCCCTCTCTCCTCACAGGGGGAGAATTACTTTGGGCAGCTTTTGCAGGAAATATATTTAAAGTCTTAAAGAGAAGATCAGATCTCACCCAGTTTCATCCGTGTTGCTTTAAAGGTGCTTGGTTGTAGTTTTGTCTTCCACTGTCAGCAGCTTAATGACGAGCCATATTACTATGGCTGGTCTTTTCCCTGCCAGTTTGGAGAGCTGCCCCGGATCAAGCGGGGGTTGTCTCCTTGCTCATCGCCCCTACAGGATGACTTTTGACCCTTTCCAGGGTCTCCCAGTGGAATAAAACCAGACGCTGAAGACAGAGCTCGTCTCCATGTGTCCACCAGCACTGCGATGGCAAACCGGAAGCTATATTCTGATTGCTTTTAGATGTTTGCCAAACTGATGTGATTTTTTTTTAAAAAGTAGGATTTAGAAGCTCTCATTTTATGCATACTATATTATAGAAAGTGGTGAAGAATGTGAAAATAATATTCTTAATCCTCTCCGCTGGCCTCCATCAAAAACAAGTAGGCCTGATTAGAAGAGTAGAAGAGCAATGATTCCATGGGTTGATCCTAACAAACCGTAGAGACCAGAGGGAATGGCTTTGATTCAGTTTATTTTAAAACATGAGGAAAATTCTATCAATGGTTAGCAATACGATCTAGCGAGAAAGGATTGTGAAGTCTGTTAGGATGAATGATATCTATTGACTAATTAATATTTTTATGATTATGGTTATTCTTATTGATTATAGTTATTTATCATTTTATTAATTACTATTATTTAATATTTGTATCTGGACGACAGTCTGCTTGTTAAAGCATGGAATTATTGTTGGGGGCAACTCTATTTTTGTACCTAACCTCACTCTAACCCCACTTCTGAACCCTACCTAATACCCATATCAATCCTAGCCTTTCCTTATTCTTGTAAAACCTAATAAAATACTATAAAAAAAAGAAAGTGGTGAAAATGGTTACAGTATGTAGTGCCTCTTTGATATGGCAGAATGATCTTGTTCAAATATTCTTGTTTTATCAACAGTCTTTGCAATTATTTTTATATTTAAGTTCAACTCCTATTCTGAGGATCCAAGTGCCAATAAGTATCCTAGATAATAAATATAAATTGATCCTTAAGTAGGAAAAACCAAAGGCATAGGTAAAAAATAGGTAGTATCTGGCTCAGCAGTAGTAATTGTGAGAGTATCCTAGTGGACCAGCACTTGAATATGAGCCAGCGGTATGCTGCATCTGCCAAAAAGGTCAATGCAGTCCTAGGCTACATCAATAAAAGATCACAAGAAGTGATAGTACTGCTTTATACTGTACTAATAAGGCCATACTTGGAATATTGTGTCTAATTCTGGTCACCAAGATACAAAAAAGATGTTGAAACCCTTGAAAGAGTGCAGAGAAGAGCAACAAAAATGATAATGGGTCTGAAGGCTAAATTGTACAGTGAACAGAACAGAAATTTCTTGACAATGAGAACACTTAATCAATGGAACAGGTTGCCTTTCAGAATTGTGAGTGCACCATCACTGGAGGTTTTCAAGAAAAGGTTGGACAACCATTTATCTGAGATGGTGT